GGAAGAATTCACAACTGACCGGAGACACCTGACAATCAGCCAGCTCCAAGGAAGACTTTTCTACAGACTGCAACTTTCAGGGAGGAGGGATAGCATGAAAAGGTTTCTGCTGAACAGCAACTAATTTTTTGGAGGAAAAAAAGCAAACACATCACATACAATTCTGCATCCTGGTTTGAATGCTGGCTCACACCTAGCCCTGTGTGGCTCTGAGAGGAGAGCTAAGCTGAGGTTCAGGAAACAGGTGATACAAAGCAAACAGTGACACTTATTTTGTTCTCAACCTGTTTAATAATTAAAAGGACAATAAAAATGGTAGTTTCAGTATTCAATACATTCTTGGGATGTTGGCCATCCAGAGAGGAGTATTTCAAATAGCTGAGGAAATACTTCACTTTGACTCAAAGTCTGTTTAAATTTTGAAAAGACCTAATTTGCCAGGATTGTGGTTGCTGATTTATCATAACAAATATCAAAAAGTAGAGGCTCTGCACCAACAGCAGAGGGAAGGACTACTGTGACAGTAATAGCTGGAGCTGATAGCACAAGAGGCAGCCAACCATTGAGTCCCTTTTCCCTTGTCACAAAGTGTTAATACTTTAACATAAATTAATTATACATTCATTATGGTGTCTTAAAACAGTCAAGCCTAAGTAAATTCTTCATACCATCAAAAAGATAAACATACTAAAACCTGCTTCAGCACAAACTTTTTCATTGGACAGCTCTTAGCCTGTGCCATACACATTTACAGGGATCTTATGTTTCTCAAGCTTAATATAAGTCTGGCAATTATTTTATATAAAAATAAGATTAAATTTAAAACCTCACCAAACTAGGATTCCAGTGTTGTAGAAAATCAAATGAATGAGACACCAGAATAGCTAAAGCCAGTGGTTCTCTAACTTGAGCTTGTATCCCAACCACCTAGAGGGCTTGTAAAAAGCTCTCGGGACCCTACTCCCAGTTTCTGGATCAGGAAGACTGGGCAGGGCCCAAGGATGTGCATTACTAACAAACTCCCAGAAAATTGTGATGTTGCTGGCCTGGGAACCCCACTTGGAGAAGCACCAGCTATGACAACAAAACAGCATCAACTCCATCACCACTCAGCGGTGGACAGTATGGGCTTTCTTTCAACTACTCATCCTGTAGGGGACAATGTGGAGGTGGCCCTCGCTGCCTGATATTTTCTATTCTCAAGAGAAGTTCTGGGCTTAGCTAATAGCACTTCTCTGCCAGCACGCAATGTGTTTTGCAACTAAAACCATATACGGTATATTTGAATATTTTATTTAATGCCAAAAAAAAAAAAATTTACCCTAGGGGACAGAAGAATGTAAAAAGAAAGGAAAAGGCACCATAATTAAGTTGTCCTTGGAAATGATGAGGTTTTTTTTTGTTTTGTTTTGTTTTTTGTTCAAATAACTTCAATGTAACTTCAAGCCCAAACATTCTGAGAGGTAAAGAGTCTTGGTACCTTTGGGGGCAGGAGAGGCAAGACAAGCTCTGGGAAGAATGGAGTGCTGGAGCCTGTTATCACTCCACAGACTCACGTTAAAGCAGGGCCTTGGACATGAGAACCCTGAGCAGCCGGAAGGCAAGTGACTTCCTCAAGTTTCAGAAGGAAGGTACCGTGTGCATCCTTGAAAGAAAGCTCCAGGAAAAAAATTGGGCTGGGAAGAAGCCTTTTCTGAGTCAGAGTCAACAGAGAAGCAGGACACAGGCTCAGAGGCCCCATTCGGGATGCTCTCTTCACTTCGCCAGAGCCCGCTTATGCCCACTGATCAGACTGCTTACGCAGACCTGGCCTGGTGACACTCTTACATTGCCTGGCTAATGGTCATATTTTCAATGAAAAAGGTGCTTGTAACTGTGATGAAAATCCTGAGGAGTGCCAGAACTCAGAAGGCTTATTAGCCTTGAACTTTGCAAAATGGATTCTTCTAAGTAAAACGCACTGCAGGTACTAACAGCAGCAGTAAGCAGCCCGGGGAGTCTGGTGTAGCGGTTCTGGCAGTCCACGCTAGTCCTTGTGCCCGCCCACGAAGGGCTTTGCCATTCACGGGGACCCAGATGCACCAGGGGCACTGCTCTTCCCAAGGTGAAACCAGCAGCCCTGCCCAGAGTAAGGTGAGGGTCAGGCTCAGGGTTTGGGAACTGCAAGCTCAGACTCTGCCGCTGCCAGTAGTGGAGTGGAAGCTCATTTGGTCGCTGCATTCAACCAACAGGTTCTTCTGAAGCTTCTAAGGAAACACCATCCCGTTGTCCCGCTCTGGATCCCTTTCTTCATCTGCTACACAGTGGAGGAGTCTGCCCGACCGCCCTGCCTCCACATAAAGTGCCACGTGCCCGGGGCTGCGCTCAGGGTCAGCTGTGGGCAGCAGGGGGCTCAGAAAAGGAGGGCCACTGGGCAGCCCCACCCCGAAAGAGCTGTGTCACCAGGAAAAGGCTGATGGCATGTCAGTCCAGCAGGACACACTGCTGCTGTTACCCTAGCACAATGGTTTTTGTACCCAAAGGGAAGAAAGCTCACAAAATAAAAGGACATTATCCAATCTCATAATATTCTCCGAACTAAACACATAAAGGCAAATCATCATCTTAAAGTATACTTTTAGGACTAAGTTAAAATAGGCATGTGCTTCCCCCATGATCCAATATATGACGATTACTATTGCTTCTTTCAGAGGACCATGAAAAGAATCTGTATATTAAAAAAAAAAAAAAAAAGGAATTCAATTTGTTTAAAAAAGAGAAACAATGGGGGGGGAAGCATTTCCTCTCTCCCTCCCTCACCCCACGTCATTTTGGCTCACAAGCTATTTTATGTTCTAGCATCATTCTGGCTGTGAAAGCATCTCAGCTTCAGGAAGCGTCCCTGGATATCCAGCCACTTTCTGTAAGGAAGTTTAAAATCCTTTTCTTTAGGACTTTGTCCAAGTAACTAGGAAGGCGGCTTTTGGAAGGTATCCCTTGTCGTTTCTGGAGGTGGTCTTTAATTATAATCGTCTTCACAGTCACATAGCGAGCTGGACTTAAGTTTAATGAGCTACAGAGCACCTTCTCGCGATCTGACAGGAGCTCGAAACCGGGAAGGTTCTCAATGGCCGCAAACTCACTGTCTTTGCCATCCTCCTTCCCCCTTTTGGAGCCAGCTATGTTTTTGTTCTCCTTCCTCTTCTCTCGTTTATGCCTTGCTGCCTCGTACTCTGCCGACTCTTCCATCTTAGTGATTCCGTTTCGCCGATACCTCTGCAATTCTCTGATTTTGGCCCGGAGCATTTTTTCCTTGTGCATGTTTTCAAACAAATCATCAAACTCCTTACATGACATGAACTGATACAGAGGCCTCAGTTTCAGCCGCAGCTCCTTCTCCTCCTTCGTGATCTTGCGTTTCAGTGTCTTTTCCTTATCCTTCTTGTCTTTCCCCAGAAAGGCCGGCACCAGGTTATAGTCGCGGGCGATGTTCTTCCGGCGCTGTCGCTCTTTCAGCTTTCTCAGGAATTCAATTTGTTTAAAAAAGAGCAACAATGGGGGGGGAAGCATTTCCTCTCTCCCTCCCTCACCCCACGTCATTTTGGCTCACAAGCTATTTTATGTTCTAGCATCATTCTGGCTGTGAAAGCATCTCAGCTTCAGGAAGCGTCCCTGGATATCCAGCCACTTTCTGTAAGGAAGTTTAAAATCCTTTTCTTTAGGACTTTGTCCAAGTAACTAGGAAGGCGGCTTTTGGAAGGTATCCCTTGTCGTTTCTGGAGGTGGTCTTTAATTATAATCGTCTTCACAGTCACATAGCGAGCTGGACTTAAGTTTAATGAGCTACAGAGCACCTTCTCGCGATCTGACAGGAGCTCGAAACCGGGAAGGTTCTCAATGGCCGCAAACTCACTGTCTTTGCCATCCTCCTTCCCCCTTTTGGAGCCAGCTATGTTTTTGTTCTCCTTCCTCTTCTCTCGTTTATGCCTTGCTGCCTCGTACTCTGCCGACTCTTCCATCTTAGTGATTCCGTTTCGCCGATACCTCTGCAATTCTCTGATTTTGGCCCGGAGCATTTTTTCCTTGTGCATGTTTTCAAACAAATCATCAAACTCCTTACATGACATGAACTGATACAGAGGCCTCAGTTTCAGCCGCAGCTCCTTCTCCTCCTTCGTGATCTTGCGTTTCAGTGTCTTTTCCTTATCCTTCTTGTCTTTCCCCAGAAAGGCCGGCACCAGGTTATAGTCGCGGGCGATGTTCTTCCGGCGCTGTCGCTCTTTCAGCTTTCTCACATACATGTCCACGTGGGCCCGCTTAAGCTCGATCTCCACGTCGTCGTCATCGTAGTTCACCGAGAGCCCACTGATGAGGGTCTCGGCGTCCTGGTCGTACTCGATCTCGTAGTCGTCCCGCAGTGGCATGTAGCCCAGCTGCTGCTGCTCGGCCACTGAGATGTCCAGGGGAGGCAGAGGGGTAGTGAGGCTGGGGGACAGGGGGCCTCCGCTGGGACAGGTGTGGTCTGTCACCCGGTTGGGGATGGTGTCAGGAATGCAGGCTTTCCCCAGGTTCCCATGGATGTACATGCTGACATAATGCTCCATCACTTCTTGAGGAGTCCGGGAAGCGCCAACGTGAGCAGCCATGTCTTCCTACAACAGCAAATGTCAGAAGTTATTTCCAAAGCCAAAGTGTCACACTTACGTTTCAACAGATCGTACCAACATTTTTCACAAAGGGGCCAGTGGAATCCTTCCCATTAACATTGTGGCCGCCCTCCTAAAAGACACTGAGTCACACTCTCCTGAGCAGAACTCATCGCAGAGATGTCACTGTTGGAAGGACCTGCACTGATGTTGTCCATGACAAAGTCAAGATCCAGAGGGGCCCCAGCTTGCCCGAGGTCATGTGCTGAGCTGGTGGCAGAGCTGGGACTCACCTGAGATCTTTACTTTGATCTCCTCATTCCTTAACTGGGGCTAGCAGACACCCCAGTACTGGTACTCGCACCTCACCACAAGCCCAGAACTCTCTGGGACTGTCACAAGTAGACTGAGGCAGGGAACTCTTAAGCCCGCCTCATTTCTAGACTCATCCACTGTGCAAGGCAAGGTCGAGTCCATGACCCAGGCCCCGAGTACCTGTTCTCCAGTGCTGCCTGCCTACCAGGAACAGAAAGGGCCAAGCACGGTCTTTAGCAATCACCCTGGCTTCAGACCCTCCCCAGCACCAGAGCTCCAGGAGGGCTAGCCTGTCCCTCTCCCAGGTGGTGCCTACAAGATGACTGGGAAGTGGCTTTTCCAGGGACATGGCCTTCATTTATAGAACTCTCCATAGTTAAGAAGCTAGCTAAGAGGGGCCAGCAGATGGCGTGGTGTTAAGGTGCTGGACACTCCCACATGGCTGACCACGGTTCAAGTCTCGGACCTGGTGACTTGCTTTCTCACTTTCCCTCTTTCTCTCTCTCTCTGTGTCTCTCTCTGGTCAAATTAAAAAATAAATAAGTGGATAAATAAATAATTTTTTTTAAAAAAAGAAGCTAGCTAAGAATATGCCATAGGTTGAAAGCATTCATCACTCCTACAAGAAGGTAACCCACAAAGACGGAGCTTATTAATGGGAGGAAACTGTATAACTCCTTCGATCTTTTCCTTCTGCCAAGAGGCCTCTTCCTTAAAGTCAACCGCTAAAGCCACTTCAGAAAGTAAGTGCCCAAAGTGCTCACTCATTCACCCGGCCACCACTTGTCAGCACATGCCCCAGCCCCAACTGGCACCTCACTCTGCACAGCAGGCCCTCAGCCGGGGTGTGGAACCAGTTCCTCTCTTCCCAGATCGGCTCATCCCAGAACCACCATGTGCTCCCCCACAAAGCCTGCCTGGTCTCTGCACCCAGGAATAGGAAGGGCTAGACACTATCTTTGGCACTTGTCCTGCCTATAAACCCCTGAAAGCCCAGCTGGAATCCAAGGAAGCAGCCAGTGCATCCAGGCTGATGGCGGACTACAAGCTGGGTGCCATGGGGACAGGGAAGTGTACTGGGCTCAATGAATGGACCCTACCTACACCTTGGGCTTCATCCGGGACACACGCCTGGAGCCACAGTGCTGTGACCCTTGTCTTTCCCACCGGTCCTAAGAGCAACTTAATAGAGCAGGAATAAAGAAGGCACTACTGGCACCTTGTGCACTAGTGGGGTCTCTGAGCACTGTAAAGGGAAAACAGGCCCAGCCTCCGTGGCACAGCCAATAGTCTAGTAGGAGTGAGCTGGAAGCCATACAGCTGACCTCAGGTTCAGATCCCAGGCCCTATCCACCTGAAACATAATGGGCATGTGTGTGCATGCCCAAGATCCTGGCAAGCTGGAGGGCTAAAGGATGGGGATCACAGTGAAACAAGACCCTTTCAAGGGTGCTTCTCTCTCTCTCTCTCTCTCTCTCTCTCTCTCTCTCTCGCACGTGCTTGCTATCATGAGTAAAATATAAGAAAACTGTTAATAAGATAGTAAAGAGTAGAGCTGAAAATAGATCTCAGCCTTGTAGAGATAAATTATTTGCTTGATTTCTTCTTTTAAAAACATTGTTTTGGGGCCATCAGGTAGTGTGGAAGTTGGGGAAACCGGATCCCACATGGCCGACAGCACAGTTCGAGTCCTGGACCCAACAGTTTGAGAACACACTGGGCATGTGTGTGCATGCCAGAAATCCCGAGAGGAGAATGGAGAAGGGACTGTAGCATGGCCATGCCCCCTGACTGAATTCCCCACCTTCCTTCTCTGTCTCTCTCTGGCATGCACATGTGCCCTACAGCAAAAACTTAAAAAAAAAAAAAAAAAAAAAAAAAAGAGGGGAAAAAAACACAGCACAT